TATCAAACGAATTACATCTACACTGGCCACTTCGATCAACTAACATTGACAACATAAATATCATATAAACACAATTTATGACAAAATGCAAGCAAGAACAATAAAGCAGAGCATGAGCTAAATTGGATTCAATCTATGTATGAATAAGTTACTCAAGCTAAGTCATCAAGATTGCATGCAATTCATTTCTGTTGTGTCATGCCATAGTCATAGATTAAACACAAACAAAATAGCAGACTATATATTCAATGTAGAGGTATTTATTTAAATATATAGTCAATTGGTGACTAAACTTATTTCAAATATGAAAAAAAAAACTTATTTCAAATCTACTTACATGTTAGACTCTAGATTAGCTAAACAACCTTGAAATTTTATTATTTAGGTCAATAACAACGCGGAAATATTCTAATTGAAGAGTATTCATATGTTTCAACGCTTTGACTAAAGCGGTTTTGATATTTTATCAATTAGCACACTGAGAGATAAATGATAGAACTTACTTGCGTGCCATTTCATTCAATGAATAAAAATAGTAGTATACTCAAATGTTTTAAACTAATAACATGTTATTATTAAAAAAACATCATGCGTAATTTATTGCTACTCTCGAGAATATATTCATTTTCACCCAAACATGTTAATTGTTTTATTTATTTTTTGGCAAAAGCCAAACATGTTAAATTAATGTACGTATTTTACAGTAAATAAAAAAAACTCAGATAAAATTTATTTCATGGCTTTTTAAGTAAAATACTCTTTTAATTTTATAAGTCATTGAATCATTGTATTATTGCAGGATATTTGAATATGAAATTTATGACTTGTTATATGTATGTTTAGTCAAACTTCTTTAACAATGACAATTTTGGTCAAACTTCCTTCATTTAGATGTATTCATTCATATATTAAAAATACTATATCTTTATTGGTTGCAAAAGAATAGATATTATCATAATTGATAATATATACTCCTAGTTATATTCTTGCGAATATATATAATTCAGAATTTAAATAACATAGACTAAATTCAATGTAGTCAACGTTACCCAAATTAGTCACCTTCTTTCTCCGGTAATAAATAGCGAGCTTTAAGTTCTACCTAGCCACTCCAGCCAATTTACATAACCATGGCTTCCATTACTAATTCTCATTTTATATTGTTGTTTCTTATCTTTTCTACTTTTATTGTTTTTACGTTAGCATTAGATTTATCAGATGTTGCAGCAGAAGCACCGGATGGCTTGTTACCTCTATCCAAAAAGCACGTTGTAATTCGCAACACTGTAACAAACGGAGAAGTTTTGAATATACATTGCAAATCCAGTGAGGATGATTTGGGGCATATCCGTCTTAAACATGGGCATACTTGGGATTTCAGATTTCGTGTTAACTTTTCATTATCTACATATTTTCGTTGTCATTTTTGGTGGAATGCAGTTCCAGGCGGTCCTAACTATTTTAGTTACTGGTTTGATATATTTACTGTATACAGGGACGATAACCCATTAGGAAGGTATCCAGTTTGCTCAGAATGCATTTGGGAGATGTCCAAATTACGTCAAAATAGTATTTGTCGTATAAATCGTGATAAATCAGGGTGGTGTTTCCGCATGGACACTGAACCTTAAGATAAAAAAAAAACACTATTGTTCACTATATATTAAAATTGATTGAATAAAATATATCATTGATACTTTTGAAGCTCTCTTTATTTGAAGTGTTTATATCCACAAAAGCAAATTATGTCGAGTTTTTTTTTTGTTTTGGGCAAATAGCAAATTATGTTGTTTGTTTTGATGAATCCACTGCAAACTAAGTTTCTAACTCTATGTACCAACTTTTTGGAATGTCGTTGTTCCAATTTATCGGATCTGATTTACAGCTACCATATGACAAACAATGTCTAAGAAACGTGATGAGAGAATGAATCCATGCAAATTCTCAAAAAAAAGACTAGGAAACATCCACATCTAATGTCTCTGCACTAAAAAATGATAGTTATTAAAAAAAAAAAAAGCTATATCTTATCTAATAAATGTTACCATCATATCTAACTCGCATATAGTAGATACAATCTAAGCTTCTAATTGGTCTCCTTACACCAACATTTGACATAAGTCTACAATCTAAGCTTCTAATTGGTGTTAGCCTCAAGTCGCTAGTACCAGAAGTTCCCTTCTGATCATTTTGAACAACCATCAAACGAGAACTTAAAGACTTATGTAAGCACTTAACGATTTTGACAACGCGAATACTGGAAGTTCAAATATAAATTAATTAGTACGTTAGTAGTTTAGAATTGTATGCTTTGTAAATTGTGATAAGCATCCAACCCTAGCAGATGTTATTTCTTAACGTTATTTTTTTCTAAATGTATTGTTGTTAGTTTTTCTAGGAAAAATGGGTAGAAAAACCCTCACCTTTCATAAAAACATAGAAAAAACCCTCAATTTTTTTGTGGGTTTTTAAACCTCCACATTTTCATAAATGGTAAAATAAACCCTAGTATTAAAAAACTTAATTTAAATTCAAAAAATCGTTATACTAAAACATAAATAAATAGGAAAAATTTGATTTCGGGTGTTTCTTCTAAAATTCTAGTTTACAATATTTTTCTAAATTGAAAATATGTAAGCCATGATGTAAAAAAGTTAATTAGTGAAGTTTTATTCGGTGTGTTACAAAAATTCATCAACGTGAAACCAAACAGATTTTGTTACGAATTATATGTAAATTCTTATATCGAAACCGAATATGAGTTTATATTAATAAAGGTTTATTAGGTTCGGTCACACAAATTTACTAACGTAAAACCAAACCAAATTTTATAATACTATGAAAAGTACATGAATTTCCACATCAAAATATTTTCATTGGACAAACTAAATAAGATTTACTAACAATTAATATTTCTATATTATTACGATATATTAAAATATAATATAAATTATATTTAATTAATCATTATTTAACTATATTTTTATCCAAAACCTGAACATAAATTTGGTTTAATATAATGTAAATTCGAATTTGAAATAAAAAATCATAAATTAAATTTTTTTTGTTACTTACTGTTTTAATATAATGATTTCAAAAAAATTAAATTGAGTTTATTAAGATTAGAGTTTATTTAACCATTTATAAAAAGGTGAGGGTTTAAAAACCCACAAAAAAAGTTGAGGGTTTTTTTTATGTTTTTAAGAAAGGTGAGGGTTTTTTTACCCATTTTTCCGTTTTTCTACAAGACTTAGCATATCATGTTTTTCATACACTTGTAATCCTAACTAATCAAAAACTTCAAGAAAGTTTAATTCATTGAACCAAAAAGTATTACAATAAAAAAAAAAAACAATTCTATAATTAGACGAAGAGGAACCAAATTAGTAAACGAATAATAGCTTAAGTAAATCGAATTCCAGTAACTAGCCATACATCTTTTCAATAATAACGTGAATAATAGATAATAATTTGACAACATTTGTGTTATAGAAAGTGAAAGGAGACTTTTGTATAGGTCCATTATTTTTCCATTCATCTTCGCATTTGATCATATAGTGTGAGCCATCCACTGCAGAAAACTGAGCTATGGATTCGAGCCCTTCTTCTTGTGCTTCTTCATAAGCTTTTTGGAACAAAGCAGACGCTAAATTGTAGTACTTTCCGCAAAAATAGAGTCGTCGAGTCCCAATCGGACCACTAAACTTTTGGCGAACTTTGTTGATTTGTTTGGTTGCGTTGGTCAATTGGATTTGGCATTGAGAAATCTGATAATAAATTCCAATAAGAAATCAATAATATTTTTTTTTATGGAGCGAAGGAATAAAACAGATTCCCTCATATCTCAATTTTATATTTACGGCTTCATAACTGGTATTTTAGTTTTAGTGTTTTTGTTCTCTACAGTTAAGAGTTTTTAATATATATTTATCAAATCTAAACAGATAATGGTTATTGTGAATATATAGTTTTCCAACACTGTTTTCTACCCATACACTTTGTGTGTTTTAGATATATGTATAAGTATATATATATATATATGAACCGTACATATATAATAATTAAAGGAATTACAAACTTACTGCAATTACAAGCACATCATGGAGGTCGCGTGCGGCTAAGATACGTATGTCCGTTCCAATGTATTTCAAGCAGAAGTTTACGTCATCCGTATCCTTGCAAAATGCGTACATGTCTTTGATAGGCATCGCATCTACGACTGTAAACGCAAAGAACACGAATACTAACAACGACAAAGAAAAAGTTAAGTGTTTGATGAGCATTGTGGCCATACTAAGAAGATACGAATGTGTTTGTTATTTTTTCATTTTATATGTTTTAAAACATTTCATTTATAATGATATTTTTTCATTTATAATGATATTGAAAGCTACAAACGTTACTTAATAAAATTATGGAAAGTTATTGGCTGTGAATGGAAAAATATCAAACTAGTAATAACTAAGAAGAGTAAAAATCTTAATGGCAGTAAATGTTTGGAATAATGGATTACCACAACTTGGAAACGCATTTTGAATTTCATAATAGACTTGGGCACTTGGCCGACAACATAGTGAATTAGTGAGGTTGCCCTATAATTCAGCTAGTTGTGTTTTTGTATATAAAAGACGAGATCATAGAATTTGAATTCTTCTACTCTATTTCATCAGATATCTTAGCATAAAGGGCTCTTTTTTTTGTCAAAGCCCAATCGAATAGGAAGCCCAGCAAGAATTCGGTCTCTTTCCAAAAAGAAAATTTCGATGATAAGAAATAGGATTAACTAAAACCCTAGATTTAGTGGGAAATCCACTATAGTGTGAGCACTATTACCTACGATTTTCTGTTCTCATTTGCGTTTTTTTTCTGGTCAACCATTCGGTTTCCTTTTCTAATTGTCGGGCAGGAATTAGGGATTTTAATAAAACTAAGGAGTAAATAAATAATTAAAAAAGACAGAAACAATATTATAAAATTGTCTTTTGAGCTGTCCTCAATGAAACCTTAAATAAAAGAGAACCCTCTCTGCAACATTTATTAATACTCAAAACATATCTCTCTCTCTCTGTCTTTACTCATTGTCGTTATGGTCGCGCCGCCTGTAGCCGCCGCGTCCTCAGAGCTCCCTACTCCGTTCCCCGCCGTCTTCGAAGAACCAATGGAGAAACTCAGCTTCCCGAACGAGTTCCCTTACGAGTTTGCCTCCTCAACGTTTTCAACTTCTCCAGAAGACTCAACGGAGACGGAAGATGAAACAACCGACGACGAAGATGACTTTTTAGCCGGGTTAACTCGCAGACTCGCTCTCTCAACTCAGCGCCTCTCTTCTCCTTCCTTCGTCACCGACAAGTCTCAGGTTTGTCAAAAGCTTCTCTCTTTTTCAAATGTTATCTCCTAAATGTAAACTAAACACTCACAGGTTTTTGCTCTGTTTCTTCAGCTGAAACCTAAAGTCACTGAGTCAGCTCAGAGTGGACTCGGAAGTCCTAATGGACCGTTTTCTCAAGCTCCTTCACCGCCGACATCTCCGTTTCGTGAAGAAGACTCATTGAAAGTGTTATCTGCTGCAGCTGGAGAAGTCGCCAAAATCAAAAGGGCGAATTTTGATGCTAAACCCATCAGCCGCCCAAACCCTAACCCTAATTCCTTAATCCCATTGCCTCAAAACGCGGCGTTTTATAACTACTACTGGCCCTACTGGCTATGGCAGCCGCATTATCATCAATCTCAGATGGGAAGAGTTCCAAATGCTTGGCGTGTGTCTCCTTCTCCCGTCAGAGGCGTTTACACAACTCCAACCGCCGTGAAATCGCCGTCTACTGGTACCGGCGTTTTCCTTCCCCGGAAATACTCAATCCCTTCTGATTCCCGGAAGAAAACAGGTAACTTTTCTCAAATTTCCGTTGATTTAACATCTTGGGTTTCTGAAATTTCAACACTTTCGTGCAATTTTGTTACTTTAGAATCTAAATTGAAAAAAAAAAATTGGATTTTTTCAGGAGATGGATGTGTTAAGATTGTTAACCAACAAAAACCTAAAACTAAAAGTGAAGGGTTACCGGTTCGGTGTAAACCAAATTCAAAAGCTGGTCTCTCTACAGGACGCAGCAAAATGGATCACGGTACTAATTCAAACATCCTCTGTTTTTCATTTCAGTTTTAGAAAAAGATAGACATTTGATTGGATCTATTCGTTTGTATTGTAGTAGCTGGTGGTGGTTGTTTGAAGCAAGAAAGACCTCTTCCACAAGAATGGATGTACTGAGAGTTTGAATTAGGTTATGTAGGGTTCAGGACTTGGAAGAAAATATTACAGAAATGGTCGTAGTTAGTGGGTTGACTTTATAGTGTTGATTGTGATGGTTATTGGTTATAGTAAAGAATAATTATGTGGGGTTAAGTTGGATTGGGATTTATTAGTTATTGCTTATTTCTTGGCCTTGGGAGAGTTTTTCATCTAACTCTTCTTTGGCATAAGGTTAGTGCAACAACCTAGAGGATGTGTTGAGAGTACTTTTAGAGTGTTTTCTGCAATTTTGGAATCTATGAGGTTGCAATAAAATTATCTGTAGTTTTTTTTGGGTTTGTTTGTTTAAAAGAAGCAAAGTTGTAGTGAACTATAGTGGTTATAGAAGAGATTGTATCTGAAGAGTTGTTCCCTAAATTTTCTTATCAATATTAATTCTTTTGGCATAGTTCTGTTTGAGAAGAGTTGCTTTGCGAAACATCATGAAAAGGATTTGTATAACTGAAATATTGTAGTCTAATTTCCAAATAATATTTGTCAATGGAAGGTGGAAGTGGCAACAAAATAAAAACAAAAGAGAAGAGAAAAAAAAAAAAAAAGGAAAGGGAAAAATGTTTATGCTTAGACGTGAAGCAGTGGGTAAAGGAGGAAACAGATCTTGTGTATACGGTGAACCAACAGAAATACATGACATCCTATGAAGTTAAGATTTTGAGTCTCTCTGTCTATGGTCTACCTTGGAGATAAGCACACAAACCCATTAGTTTCTTCACTGTTTTTGAAATTTGGTATGATTAGGAATGTTATTGTTATCTAAAAGTTTGTAGGTCCTGTTTTAGGTCATTGAACTTTGGTTTCAAGTTTCTTGCTTGCTTTTTCCTTTTTTGGGATTTCCCGCTGGAAAAGAAGACTAAGATAATAAAAACAAAAGGGAAATGAAGTGAGAGAAGGTAAGCCACAAATATGAAAGATGTTTGTTTGGATTGGGAGATGTAAAATTCTCATACCTTTCGAGTTTGACTGAGTGAAACTTTAATCCATGTCTATATATCAAAATGTCGGCATCTGAAGAGTCTGATACTCTTGAAACATTGATGTTCATAGAAATTTTGTACGAATTAGATGTTTTGAACTAGTGTTTCCAGTTTAAATGTCATTTTCTATTGGAATAAATGCGAGTGATGGTTCGAATTATTCATGATTATAACATGGACCTATAATGGAGGGTGTAACATTTGGAGCTTCTTCGTTCTCAAGGTTGTAATTGCAATTGAGTCTCGCCCACAATACTTTTTTAACCATAACGTATCTAAGACGATGACGGTGTGCGTAAAGCGAAAGCCACAATTAGTCTCGCTATATGATGGTTACTGATTTTCTTTTCTTTTTTACGCAATCAAATGACTTTTTCATTTTGGGTATCGATTTTGTTTGGGTCCCCATTAACCACCAAAAGTATATATATGATTCCATTTCATGAACATCAAAAATTCTGTTTTTTTTTTAAAAGGGTTAATCTTAAAATTACGTCATTGTGAAGGAATATCAACTTTCACTGATGCAACAACAACATATCTGGTTGAGGACCGTTATCAAAAGAAAATTTTGGTTGACCCACATACATTAATTAAAGTCATAAAAGAGATGATGGATCATATTACAATTTTTTTGTTGCAGAGAGATTACTCACAAAGAAACAAAATTTGACTACTTCAGATCTAGGATCCAAAAAAATAATAGACGGTGTTAGAATGTCTCACGTCGAAGATGTAGTGTATCTAGCATAGTATATGATCGATAACCTTTCCACTATTTTTGAACATTTCTTTTTGTACTGAAGATAACATTTATTTGAAACTACTAAAAGAGATTTTAAGGTATATGTTGTTGTTGTCTGGTGGTAACACCCTTTTTAAAAAAAAGAAAAAAAAAGAGATTTTAAGAATGTTACAAACACAGACAAAATAAAGTTCATTTTTCTTTCTTGCTTACATACGTATAGATATATATTAAAAAAAAAATCTGTGTAGAGACTATAGTCTTCCATTTCTCTAAATTTCCTATTAATATTCGAATTTGGATCATATTCTAAATTTTTAATTAACAATCTTGTGAACTTGACGAAATTGGGGGGGTGAGAGAACTGATCTTGGCCTGTTGAAGTGGGCCGATCTATTAACGCTCTCTGCCCGAACAGGTACAAGTCATCCAAAGAGGCTAGTTCTTGCCAAAAAAAAAGCTAGATGAGTTAAGGTAAAAACTTGGATCCATTTTGGCAGACTACAGAGACCCAATCCACCTAAAGATTTTGGTTTACAAACTAAGCCCAAGAGTTTTCTTCTCTCGCAAAACTTATCACCCACATGGCCAGACACAACTTATTTATGCTTTCGGGTAATTTTTAGGAAAAGAAACAAAACCACAACACACATTTATCATGCTTAGATGGCATATTAGATTAGTGGGAGATAACTTTTTTTTTTTTATTGTCACTAACATGCATTATACATTTTTCATCATGATAATGACTCGGCTACTCACTCTTTGGCTTTCAATAGCATATTATTACTTTGTGTAGTTGCATTGTTATCTCTTTCTTTCTTTTTATTACGTTTTTTTATTTAGTTACATGTGTAGTATATATACATACCCCCTTTGTCCATGTGATGATTTTAGAAAAACGTGACATTTTCCATGTTACTAGGACAGCTCAGTGCCGGCTCAATATTTTGATGGGCCCTAGGACAAAAAAAAATTTGGGCCCTTAAATTTTTTTCTTTATAGTGTTTTTGTGTTATAAAAACTTTTTTTATGATATTTTTAATAAAAATTTAATTATTAAACCTTAAAAACAGTAAATAAATTTTTTTGGGGCCCTTAGAAATTTTATTTTTATGTTGTAATCTATGTTTTTAATATTTTTGTATATATATTTTAAAAAATAGGCCCCTTAATTATTAGAACTCGGAATTGGACCCCTGGCCGTCGCACCGCCCGCCCCATATTCTGAGCCGGCACTGGTACAGCTGTCGATTTGTAATAGGATCATGAGTGTCATAAATATAAGCTATGCTTAATGACAAATTAATTCATCTTTTTATCACAAAAAAAAAAAAGAAAAAAAAAAAAAGACAAATTAATTCAGCTTCTCCAAAACTCCTTCCAAAAAAAAAAAAAACAAAGCCAAGAAGAAAAATGGAAGAGAGAAGAGGGAGGAGAATAGTCATGTTCCCTCTACCATTTGCGGGACACTTCAACCCGATGATCGAGCTCGCTGGAATATTCCACCACCGTGGCTTCTCCGTCACTATCCTCCACACTTCCTACAACTTTCCCGATCCTTCTCGCCACCCTCACTTCACTTTTCGATCCATCCCTCACAACAAAGAAGGAGAAAAGGACCCTCTGTCTCAGTCAGAAACTTCGAGTATGGACCTCATAGTTCTCATGCTTCGGCTGAAACAATGCTACGCCGAGACGTTTCGTCAGTCTATGGCAGAGGAAGTAGGTGGAGGAGAGACGGTGTGTTGTTTGGTCTCCGATGCTATATGGGGAAAGATCACGGAGGTTGTAGCGGAAGAGATTGGAGTTCGTAGGGTGGTGTTGAGGACAGGTGGTGCGTCGTCGTTTTGTGCTTTTGCCGCTTATCCTCTGCTTAGGGATAAGGGATACATCCCTATACAAGGTAAAACACTACACTTCTCTTTTTTCTTTTTGGTTTTAATGTTAAAAGATTTTTCCTATATAAAGAGTTACTGCAAAATTGTACTTAAAATTTACATTTACCTTTTTGATTTTTTCACCTTTATTTTGTATTTATCGATGAATCATAAAGTCATTTTAGGTAGGCAATTTTTTTTCCACCACTTGACACTTATTTATAAAGTAATTAAGTTGGTGTAATTGATGATGGGATAGATATAATTGGATTAAAGAAATCTAAAGTTTTCTTCCACGAAGGATAAGTTTTGGTATCGGTTTAGGGATTCCTGGTAAAAAAATCTTATTAAAGATTTACTAAACATTATTTTTTCTCCAGATTCTAGATTAGATGAGCTAGTGACAGAGCTTCTACCTTTGAAAGTTAAGGATCTTCCGGTAATAGAAACGAAAGAGCCGGAGGAACTTTACCGGGTAGTTAACGATATGGTGGAAGGAGCCAAGTCTTCTTCAGGAGTCATATGGAACACATTTGAAGATCTTGAAAGACTCTCACTCATGGATTGTAGCAACAAGTTACAAGTTCCGTTTTTCCCAATCGGACCGTTTCACAAACATAGCGACGATCATCCACTGAAGACAAAGAACAAGGACGACGAGGAAACAACCTGTTGGCTTGACAAGCAAGATCCACACTCTGTAGTCTATGCGAGTTTTGGAAGCCTTGCAGCTATAGAAGAGAAGGAGTTTCTCGAGATTGCTTGGGGTCTAAGAAACAGCGAACGACCATTCTTGTGGGTGGTTAGGCCAGGGATGGTCCGAGGGACCGAGTGGCTTGAGTCATTGCCTTGTGGGTTTTTGGAAAACATTGGTCATAAGGGAAAAATTGTGAAATGGGTGAATCAACTAGAGGTATTGGCGCATCCTGCGATTGGAGCGTTTTGGACGCACTGTGGATGGAACTCAACACTAGAGAGCATATGTCAAGGTGTTCCAATGATATGTACGCCGTGTTTCTCGGACCAGCATGTGAACGCGAGGTACATCATTGATGTATGGCGAGTCGGTATGGTGTTAGAGAGAAGTAAGATGGAAATGAAGGAGATTGAGAATGCACTAAGAAGTGTAATGATGGAGAAGGGAGATGAATTGAGAGAGAGGAGTCTGAAGTTAAAAGAGAGTGCTGATTTTTGCTTAACTAAAGATGGATCTTCGTCCAAGAATTTAGAAAAACTTGTGAGTCATGTCCTGTCTTTTGATTCTTATGCTTTTGCAAGTTAGAAAAATCATGAATAATGTATTCTAAGCACTCTTCAAACCTTTGGATGTTTTGTTTTTTTTAAATAATAATGTTCGTTGTTTGGGTTTTATTAATATGACTTTTGATGAGTGTTTTTTAATGTTTATACTTTATAATTATGATTTTAAAATAAATTCAAAATTTTAATTAAATTTTATCTTTATGGTTTTATGTTTTCATATTATTTAATGTTGATACTTTTATAATTATCAAATTTTGTTAATTTTATGTCTACATCTATCAGTTGTAGGTATCTAACTGACTAAATGGGTCAATATCAAACTCGATCAAGCAATCATAATAGGTTCATAATCTTATTTTTTATGTTGAATCTAAAAAAAAACAATAACATATTTTTGTTTTGAACTTTTTAAAATAATTGGTGGGTCAAATGTATGTGTAATCAGTCAATCTATTACAACTATGCTCATACTACCAGGCGACGACTAGTAGCGTTAACACCAATAATACAACAAATCAAATGTATCCTCACAATCTCCAATTACAAAAAGGAAAGGAAAAAAAAAAAACAAATTAAAGAAGAAACAATGGATGAGAGAAAAGTGAGGAAAATAATCATGTTCCCTTTACCATTTCCGGGACACTTCAACCCAATGATCCAACTCGCCAGAATATTCCACCACCGTGGCTTCTCCGTCACGATCCTCCACACTTCTTTCAACTCCCCAAATCCTTCTCACTACCCACTCTTCACTTTTCGAACCATCCCTCACAACAACGAAGGAGGAGAAGATCCTCTGACTCAACCAGAAGCTTCTAGTATGGATCTTGTCGCCTTTATTCGTCTGCTGAGACAAACTTACGTGGAAACGTTTTGTCAGTCTCTTGCGGAAGAAGTAGGCAGAGGAGAGACGGTGTGTTGTTTGGTCTCTGACGCTGTTTGGGCGAGGAACACGGAGGCTGCAGCGGAAAAGGTCGGAGTACGTAGAGTGGTGTTGATTACAAGTGGTGCGGCGTCGTTTTGCGCTTTTGCCGCATTCCCTCTCCTTAGAGATAAGCATTACCTCCCTATACAAGGTAGATTAGATACAAAATATCTTATCTTTTAATTTCAACTTTATTTTTTTATACGATTTCTTCTCTTTCGTGGTCAACTCCTTTATATTATTAATCACGAGAGAGACATCTAATGAGGTGTGTCACGGCTCCTATAGAATAATAATGCCATTTCAAATTTAAAATAAACATTACGCCATTAATACTTTTTGTTATAGAAACAAAAAAAAATGTTTGACTAGTACCTTCTTGTCAGTTTTAGCATTATTAAATAGTACCTTTTTTCACATATCTTTGTTTACCAGATTCTAGATTAGATGAGCTAGTGACAGAGCTTCCACCTTTGAAAGTTAAGGATCTTCCGGTAATGGAAACGAATGAGCCGGAGGAACTATACCGGGTAGTTAACGATATGGTTAAAGGAGCCGAGTCTTCTTCAGGACTCATATGGAACACATTCGAAGATCTTGAAAGACTCTCACTCATGGATTTTAGGAGCAAGTTTCAAGTTCCCTTATTCCCGATTGGACCGTTTCACAAACATAGCGAAAATCTTCTATCGATGACAAAGAACAAAGAAGACCACGTAATAACGGATTGGCTTAATAAGCAAGATCCCAAGTCTGTGGTCTACGTGAGTTTTGGGAGCCTTGCAAATATAGAGGAGAAGGAGTTTCTCGAGATTGCTTGGGGTCTAAGAAACAGTGAACGACCGTTTTTGTGGGTGGTTAGGCCCGGGTTAGTCCGAGGGACCGAGTGGCTGGAAGCATTGCCTACTGGATTTGTGGAAAACATTGGCCAGAAGGGAAAATTTGTAAAATGGGTGAATCAATTAGAGGTATTGGCGCATTCTGCTGTTGGGGCGTTTTGGACGCATTGTGGATGGAACTCGACACTAGAAAGCATCTGTGAAGGTGTTCCAATGATATGTACACCGTGTTTCACGGACCAGTTTGTGGAATGCGAGGTACATAGTTGATGTATGGCGAATCGGGATTGAGTTAGACAGAACTACGATGGATAGGAAGGAGATTGAGAAGGTGTTACGAAGTGTAATGATAAAGGAAGGAGATGGAATTAGAGAGATGTGTTTGAAATTGAAAGAGAGAGCTACTGTTTGCTTAAGTATAGATGGGTCTTCTTCCATATATCTAGACACACTTGTGAATCATGTCATGTCTTTTGATCCTTATGATGTTGCAAGTTAGAAAAGCTACTAGTTGCAATGTGTTTAAACACTCTTCACATCTTTGGATGTCCTGTTTTATTATTTTAGTAAAGAGTAATGTTGGTTGTTACTTGTTTAGCTAGGTAATCGATATGACTGTTCATACTTACTTATGAGTTATGAAAGAAGATATGGATAATGGGCCATATATCTAGGGATGGAAACATAGTCAAGATAAACCGAAAACCAAAGTCAATGCATGTGAATGTTAAAATCATTTTTAACCGGTTTGTTTATTTTTCTAAACTGAATCTGGTCTAGATCAAATAAAAATGAAACTAACTAGGAGCTAGGAAAGAGTATTTTGACGATAAAACTTTGAACATAAGTACATAACTGGAGGTAATTTGAAAATAAGGAAATGTTACGAGATTATTACTAAGTAGAAAGTTGGACTTTTCTACTTCATATTGGAATCTTAATTAAGATAAAATAAATCGATGTAGGTATATAGTTTTCAGTACTAATTTGAAATTGTTATTGTTTCCTTATATAATTTTCTTTAATAGCTAACTGAACAAATTGGATATTTCAGATTTATATGAAGGCGGATTCGGCGCCGGACAAAACACGTGAGAGAAAGACAAAAACCACGTTCGAAAGAAAGCAAACCTTGTTATGGCCTATGGGCGATAATGGTCTATGGGAAATACGTCAGTTATTGCGCTCGTGTCAGCTCCATTAACCATCCGCAATCAGCGAAACAATGGTCGGAACTTTTGATTTCGATTTTCATTTTTATTCTTCTAATCAAGATCTTTAATTTCTTTTATCTGAACTTCAAAATTTCAATGTTCAACTTTAATAGTGAACATTGATCTCGATTCTCGAATGTCACTGTGCTTATATACTTTCATGAAAATGGTCGTAACAAACTAGCCTAACTCTTATTTAATTTGGTGGTTAAGCATGTTAATGTAAAAATATATGAAATTGAAAATTGTAATGTTCATTAAACATATATTATAATGAAGTCACATATGGTTTTAGACATTAAACTATCGTAACAACCTTACCTAGCTGTAGAATCTTTATAATATCAGGTATAGATTTTGTTTCGGATTTTCCATATTTGTTTTAGTTATTCTTATATCATGAACTGATTTTATTCTACTCATATGAGTTATGCAGACAAATTGCACATCGGCTAAAGAGATTCTCAACAGCGTGCATGTCATGATTATTCAACAATCATAGTCATAAAATTTTCAATAATGCGGAACATATTATTATACGATACATTGCCCTTGTGGAAAAATCACAAATATTGTTAAGATCGTATTATATAGTTTGAACTCACTTGATGAATGATGAAGGCAACTAATGGACACACATGCATTTATGTATATAGAAAAAAGATTTGATTTCTTAATGTAACCGTAACGGCAAGCAAATCAAAATTTAAGGGAAATATATTATTAGTCGGTCTGAATCTGAAGATACGCCGTCAGCCACGTTCGGCCGACAATTCATTTCCCAAATAAAATGTCGTCTCTTCATTATCCATTTCTCGTCGTTTTTCTACAAATACTTTTTCTTTTGGTTAATACTTTTTCCTTCTCTTACGGAATACAATTTGCAAGTTTATAAGATACTTCGTTTCACGTTATCGTTATCTCATTAAGGGGTAACTTCAAGCAAGACTTTAACAACATAAAGAAAATTTTCTAAATTCCTTACTTTTGTTCTCGTTATTTTAAAATGTAGATATTTGTATTTAGTATTTTCTAAATGTTAAAATATTATGTTTAAAAATATAACCATATTACTAAAAAAATCATAAATGTAAACATCAAATATAAATGAATGTTTCGTTCTTGAATGAAATACTAACACCAAACTATATAAATTTGTAAACAGTATAGTATTGCTAGTAGTGAAGTTATACATCTTGAAAATCGTAGTTTTGTTATTTTATACTCCAATTTTTGCTTATCTCAATTGCAAGACTAATTAATTTAAATTAAACCGATATTCATTGAACCTTATGCAGCATTGAAAGAGAAAAAGTGAAAAACATTGTATTTAGAAGTCAAAAGATGATGAAACGGAAAAAGGAGACGCATGATCTTGTCAAATGAAGTTAATCAACCCTTATTCAGAGAGAAAAGATTAATGAAAGTAAAAGTTTACTAGTTAGTTTCCTTTTTAACAAAGTAAATATATTATGAGCCGGTTTAAGCTAAGCAACTCAAAATGAACACATTTGACTTTTTGTGATTAATAAAATTATAAAATTAGTATTTTCGGCAAGATATAAAACATCAAGTAATCTAAACATATAACTGCACCCGTTGAGATAACATCGTTTTTGTTCACATTGAGACTACATACAACAATGTAGACTAAGAGAAGCAGTGATTCCCTTAAATCATTGTTGCAAAATCCAAAACTACATCAGGGAAAGAAAATAAAATCTTTGTAGTCGATTTAATCATCCCATCTGATCATCAATTAAAGAGAAAACAACCATTGATATTTTATTTTCTAGATTGGCCTTTTTTTTTTTTACCTTTCAATCTGCGTTCAGAGCGGCGCCGAAATAAAACAGATTAATTATTCATTGAACTGCACCAAAAGACAAAGTTCTCTTTTACCAATTAAAAAGCCTAATAGTACTTTTACGTATATTTTATTAAAGAAATATATACTTTTTTGACAATTATTGAAATACATAGTTTTTAAAACAAAAATTGTTAAGCAGAAACGACAAAGCTCAAAGGTATTTTTTTCATTCACGACAAAAAGAAAATGTATTTCTCTTACTTTTAGTGGGATTTTTACATTATTCTACACCCAAAAACAAATATTTTTAAATATAGTGTATATTCAATTGTTATTAGATAGAGCAAAGGGAGACATGAAGCGTGCGAACACGACAATACACAAATAGTATCAAATCGGCTTCGGTCGGTTGGTCATCTCTCTTTATTTCTCTAATATATTTTCATATATATAAATCGCAAACCCATGAGCTTATGTTATTCAATCTCTCATCATAATATATATTGAAACCCTTTCATCTTCTAAAATATTGTAACCAAAGAAAGAAAAAGTTTCGATTACACATCTTTTTTCCGGCAATCACTTTTCTCTTCTAAGATTTTGCTAAAAGAGTTAAAAATGAGAACACTTTGTCCAAATTTCGACAGAGAAGACGGTCTAGAGACCGTGTTGGAAGTTCCGATGCCGGAGGAGTTGTTCTGTTCCGACAACAACAAGAGCGGCACTTGGCGTAGCGTCAAATCTAGTTTGCTCCGGTCACCGCCGGATAACAGTAGCAGCCTCGCCACACTTTTTGGTGGTCGTGACGCTCAGATTCAGATGCTTCTTGGAATTGTTGGAGCTCCGTCGATCCCTCTTCCTGTTTCTTCCGATCAAGACGAGATTGATCATCCCATCTCCAATCTCATCAAAAACCAATCTATTGTAAGTTATCTAAACAGATTTTTTAAAAAATATCAATTCGACTAGATTGTTTGTTTGCGTTTAGCCGTTTAGTTTAGGGTTTCATATGTTAGGGTCTAAAACAATTGCATCACAGAATTACTTGAGAGACAAGTTTCTGATTTTATTTTTGATCTGTTTTTGGGTATCAATAGGAATCAGCCATGGCGAAGTACATAGTAAAGCAATACACCGCAGCAGCTGGAGGAGAGATGGATTTGGCTGCGGTGGAGAGCATGTACGCGATCGGAAAGGTGAAGATGGGAGTGACTGAGTTTTGTGCAGCGAAAACCCTAAATGGGAAGAGGAAGAAGAAGATGGTGAGGATAAGAAACTTCAATAACAACAACGGAAACGGAGGAGAGATGGGAGGTTTTGTGTTATGGAAGAAAGGTTTGAGTCAATGGAGTTTAGAGCTTGTTGTTTCGGGTTGTAAAGTTAGTGCTGGTTGTGATGGTAACGTGGCTTGGAGACAAAGCCCTTGGCTCGCACATTCTCATGCTTCTAATGAACCTTCTGGACCACTTAGAAGGTTTCTCCAAGGGCTTGATCCTAAAACCACCGCAAATTTGTTCGCTGGATCGGTTTGCGTGGGTGAAAAGGCGGTTAACGACGAAGAATGCTTTGTGCTTAAGCTCGAAACGCAGCCTTCGGGACTTAAATCTAGAAGCAAGAGCGGTATGGAGACGGTGAAGCATACCGTGTGGGGATGTTTTAGTCAAAGAACAGGACTTTTGGTTCAATTAGAGGATACTTATCTAGTACGGATCAAGACCGGTCCGGAAGAAGAAGATATGGTCTTGTGGGAAACGACGTCTGAGACATTGATCCAAGATTATAAGAGCGTTGATGGGATTCAGATCGCTCACAGAGGAAAAACACGTGTCTCTTTGTTGAGGCTTGATGAGAGCTTAGAGAGCCATTCAAAGACTACAATGGAAGAGAGTTGGGAGATTGAAGAAGTGGGATTTAATGTGAAAGGTTTGTCTTCGGATTTCTTCTTGCCTCCAGGTGACTTGCATACCAAGGAAGAAGAAGAAAGCGAATTTAGTTTTGGAGATTATAGTAGTCCTATGCTGCTTCCATTGAAGGTTAGTACAGCTTCATGGAAACTCAAGTCCTCTAAAGTCACAGCTATTGAAGATTTTGGTGAATTTGAGGGATGAAAAATGAAGACGTTTCAAGATATTTTTATTGTAAATTGATCTTCATTTTTTTGTTGTTGTATATATATGAAAATTATGGAGAAAAGTGCTTGTAAATAACATTATAAAGAATAGAAAAGCAAGCCTTTTTCCTTATTCTCTCTCGTTTATGTAATCTTACATTTTTCCTCTTATCTAGCTTCCTCTTGTACTTGTCACTTATAGTGTGCTCTGTTTAAAAACAGAGTAACAAGAACAAAACTGCAAAAGAAACAGAGTAACAACCTCTTTAACCAAACCAAAGCCTTTTCAGCCCAAGTTAAGACACTCCATGGGCCTAAGCCCAACTGTTTACATTTTAAACCAAACCGAATTTAACCAGATTGCGATTAGAGTTCTTAATCAAAGAACCAGAACATCACAATAGAAGAACCAAAATATTGTTACAAAAAATATATACAAGAAGCCGCTAATTTCATTTGAAAACCAGTTTGAAACAACAATCAATGCCGATGTTTATGATTTAGGATTTTTATATAATAAGAGACACGATACAGACTTTGTTTCGATCTTTCTTCCACCAAATCCGAATCAAAATGTCAGAAACAACATCCATAAGTACCAGTCTGGTACTTATTGACATGAAGATCATCATCTATATGCGTCAAAGCGCAAAGAATCAAGAAAAAGGGGGAAGATGAATCTCAAGCCCTACTTTTGAGTTTCAGGTTCTTGCACAGAAGAAATCTTGTCTAGGCATCATTCCACTAAACTTGATTCGAGGATCATTATAATTGAAATTATCGATCTTCAGACTCTGTTCTGCTTCTCTGATAACGGCATTGTCAAGGCCACTCTTTATCCACGCAATGTTGTTCAAATCGGTTGCTATAGATATCAGTTCTTGGTTGAAAACTGCAGAAGGCTCTTCATAATCTACAAACTCCGGTCCCAACACCGAGTTATGTGAGAACTTAGTTTCAGCTGGAAGAGTAGAGCAGCCGCGACCACATTTTGACGGGATTTGAGGTTCATCGCAAAGAGATTGTAGAAATTTACCAGCCAATGAATCGGGTTTAGCAGCTTGAATTAGTGGTCCCTCGCATGGAACTATATTGTGGTCTCTGTATCCATTTCTCTGGCTGGTTGGGTTATAGACACTGAATGCGCCAAGGCGAGCCACTGGGCGAAACACGTTACTACTGTCTATTGGAACGTTACTCTCCACTGGTGGAGCTTGTTCTTGAGGTTCATTAGCTACCTCTTCCATTACAACATCACTCACTTGTGGAGGCTTTGGCGGGGAGGAATTGATATCTCCTTGAGGCAACTGTTGTTTTGAGGATGGATTAGATGTTTCATCAACATTTTCGTTCTTGACGTAAGCGGTAGTAACTGAATTAGCCATCCATTGACCATTATTCCATAGATCTGCGTATTTACGTCTAAGCGTTGAGTTCCAATGGTTCTTGATGGCATTATCTGTTCTTCCAGTTAACATTTTCGCAATCACTGCCCATTTGTTTCCGTGAACCGCGTGAGCAGAAATTATCATACGATCTTCCTCATCTGCAAGCAGATCAAACAAGACGAAATGAAAAAAAAAAAAATCAATCTTAAAAGGCAAACCCAAAAGAATCCAAAAAAGGATCACAACAAAAGAGTTCATTATAAGTATATCTCTTCTCCAACTTTTCTATAGGCTTCAATTAAGTTCTGAGAATAGTTAAGACAACTATCTCTATATATGTGACATAACACACTGTGATTACAAAACAACCTTTTCTTTCTCTTACTCTATGGTTAAAGTAAATCAACAGAATAAAGAAGGGAAATTTCAAGATTTTGAGATAAAAGTAAAGCTAACATTTTTCACAGAATTGCATCAGAACAACAATACCTCAATCACAAGAAGAAAATCAAACTCAAACATAGTTCTCTTTCACAATCTTCCACCACAGTAGAATCAGAATTACACATTTGGAACACAAAGATAACAAAAACAAGGAAGATTCAGTAATTCGACACACAATTCAAATTCATTTCAATACGAAAACAAACCACTCATGGATTTGTAAAGAAGATCAAGAAAATCACTCCGAAACACTTGCAAGAAGAACACTAAAATCAAATCAAACCAAACCTCAAAAACCCAAAACCCAAAACTCAAGAATCTGAATTTAGATGAAACAAAATCAGAGGGTTTAAAGTTTTTTTATACCAGAGAAAGGTTTACGCTTGAGACAAGGGTCAAGCTGATTACACCAACGCAATCGACAAGATTTGCCAGAACGACCAGGGATTCCACGAGCGATCAAACTCCAATTCCTCGCTCCTAATTTCCTCACAAGCTTCGTTAAAACCGCGTCTTCCTCCGTAGACCAAGGTCCTTTAACTTTACTCTTAACCCCTCCTCCGCCACCGCCGCCGCTTGAATCTCCAGCAGCTAACTCAGCAAGCTCCGCCTCAATCGAAGCACTGATTCCTTCATCGGAATCTGCAGATGGAAAAGGTAACGGCTCCGATTGATGAGTTTCTCCTTCCATTAACACAAAAAAGTTCGATTTTTTTTTTTTGGGCAAAATTAATTAAAAAAATGAGTTTTGGTTTGTACCAGCTTTCCTAACTGCAAAAGCTTAGTGGGAGGTTTAATAAGAGGAAGGCTTCATGTTCTTTTCGGGTTCGGTTTTTTGTTAAATTACTATTTTGCCCCTCTTTCTTGGTTCGTTTTTTCTTCATCTGTTTTTAAATTACAATGTTACCCTTCTCTTTCATTGAATTTTCCCCCAATTTTTTCTATAACGCCTAGTCTGTTATAATTTCCCCCAATAGCTCGCCTTTTCTCAACTTTCCACTATATATTTTATAATTTATAATTAGGAGAAAAAAAATCCTCCATTTCCACGAAATTACTTGAATATAGCTTGGTTTTTATGTTTTTTTCGAGAAAAAATTTGGTAGCTTTATCAGTTTGAACATAAAACTGATAAAGTTAGAGAAGATTGTATGTTACTATATGCTAAATTTAAGGATATTAGCGTGTGGTTTTAAAGATGATCTGACATCTAAATTAGTAAGCTAAAAAAACACGTTTTTAGTGGTTTAAGTGTTGAATCAAGTTGAAAGTGATTGATATGAATTTCAATATATTTTAAATAAACATATCAATGACCAGATTAGATGATCATGCTTTAGAAAGCCCGCTCAAATGCTGCTATTAATATAATGTCTATAATCTGAGAGCTTGAAAAATATTATGAGAGGCTAAAGACTACTTCAAAGACAAGTGTTGTTGGAACTCGAAGACATTCATGAAACTCTTTCTGATATTTTCATTGCTTCTACGTCTTTCTCTAGCTTCTTATGTCGGTTTATTGCGAGAGCAGCAAATGTTGTAGCTGACTCCCTTGCTAGACAATCTCTATCCTTGTATGGTCTTAACATTTGAGTAACAGAGATTTTGGTGCACAAAAGAAAAAAAGACAAGTGTTCTAAGGACCGAGAGAAGTATACTGTCCCACAAGGGCATTTGGGCTTTACTGATGTGATAGTAATCGAACCAAGGCCCAACGAGGCCTTTTGGGCTTTACTTATGCCATATTAATTTAAATTTGGTGCAATTTATGCAATTTATGCTTTATGTTTCTGAGACTTTTTTCAATACTACTTAAAAAATAAAACGATTTAAATCATATAATTTGGATATAATCTTTTGCTTAACAATATTTCTTGTTTTTTGTTATCCATGTTTTTGTAATTTTAGTTTATGGGATGGACCATTATTGGGAACGAAAGTTGCGTAACATATACAGTATGTAACAAATAAAACGATTTGAAATAACTTTCACAGCTGACATAGCTTGTTAATTAAATAGAAAATTATAAAAAGCTGACACACATTAAGTAGGATGAGGATTTATAGTAATCCGATAAATTAACATGCAAAAAATTGCAGAGATTTCTAGTTCTTAATTTTTACGCCGATAAAAAAATATGAGAAGAGAATTTAAATATAGCTAGTACTTATTTTCCCTCCGATAAATATGTAAAGAAAATATCAAAAGAGAGATATAATCTACTCTTTTCTAGGCTTTAAATGTAGAGCCACGAGCAACCTCGTCTGTGCATCAAAACTCCATAATAAGAAAATGGGAACTCCCATGAACCCCAATAACAGTATGCACATCATGAGCGGATTAAAGTATCGCATGAGTGAACAGACGCTTCCCAGTGCGAAGGCCAGTGTAAGAAAATCTCAGATCCTACCCCATGTTTCAGTACCACGGACCCGCAGAGCAATGACGAATGAACATGCCCAGACAATAAGAAGACCACAACTAGGCCATCAAAACGAATCTCCGTGCCTGTTTCGTTGGGTTTATAGAAGAGGGGAAATATTAAGTTGCTTTAATTAATAGAAAAATATAAAGAAAAATATGAGAAGAGAGATTTACTTATGATAAACATGTAAAGAAAATATCAAACATGTATAGAAAAGTACTTATTTTCCCTCCGATAAACATGTAAAGAAAATATCAAAAGAGATACATTCGCTGTAAATGGTAACATAGTTTTTGAGGAATTCTCAAGCAATTCTCGAGAAATTCTTAAGGAATATTGGAGGAATTTGTGAGGATTTGTCGATGTTTCAAAGTTTTATTTTTGTTTGTAAATTGTTTAATAAATTTATCAATTTTATTATTATTATTATTATTAGATATATATAGTTTGTCGTAGTCTCGCACATAATGCATTCAATGTACTTATCATTTTATGAATAAAATTCCCAACTATTTTTTTTTTTTTTTTTTGTGAATCTATTTTACTACTCCCTCCGTATTTTAATAATTGTCGTTTTAGAATTTTTATTTTTTTGAATTAGATGTCGTTTTCAAATTTCAATGCAAAATTTCTTACTTTTTAATGTTTTATGATGTCATAAAACATTAAAAAGTAATAAATTTTGCATAGAAATTTGAAAACGACATCCAATTCAAAAAAATAAATTTTCTAAAACGACAATTATTAAAATACGGAGGGAGTACTATTCAGACCATGACCACGTGACTAATTGAATTATATTTTACTACTACTTTCTACAAAACTGTTAAAAGTAATTAATCCCAAATACTACAGAATTTGC